AGTGAACGCCAACAACTAATGCAAATAATCACAACCAATGCTAACCCCGATGACTAGCACTCATGCTAACTGAAAACTAAAGCTAATGCCAACAATTAATGCTAATGCCGACAACAATGCTAACGCCGAAAACGAATGCAAACGCCAACAACTAATTTTAATGCAGACGACAAGTGTTAATGCCAAAACTGATGCTAATAGAGAGCAAAATTCAGGTACCTCATAGGTCACAGGTACAGAAAACACTAAATCCTGAGACGTGCTACCATTCAGGACGGCGCAGTTCAAAGTGTCAGTCTGTGTAATGACTGAAAGTGTAATGTCACTAATGCTGAAGGGACACCTCATGCTAATGCCAGCCACTAATGCTAATGCAGACGACAAGTGTTAATGCCGAAAACTGATGCTATTGTCAACAACTATTGCTAATCGGACACCTCATGCTAATACCAACCACTAATGCTAATGCAGACGACAAGCGTTATTGCTGACAACTAATGCTAATGGGACAAGTAGTGCTAACACCAACAACTAATGCTAGCAACGACAACTAACGCTAACGCTGGCAATTAATGCTAACTCCAAAAACTAATGCAAATAATCACAACTGATGCTATTGCTGACAACTAATGCTAATTCTGATGACTGGCACTAATACGAACTGAAAACTAAAGCTAACACCAACAATCAATGCTAATGCCGACAAGTAATGCTAACCCAAAAAACTAATGCAAACGACAACAACTAATTCTCACGCAGACGACAAGCATTAATGCCGACAGTTAATGCTGATGGGACAATTGATGCTAACACCAAACACTAATGCAAATAATCAAAACTAATGCTACTGCTGACAACTAATGCCGACCCCGATGACAAGCACTAATGCGAACAATTAGTGTGAATACGGACAACTAAAGCTAATGCCAACAACTAATGCTAACGCCAAAAAAATGAATGCAAATAATGACAACTAATGCTAACAATTGATGCTAATGTCAACAACTNATGCTAACGCCAAAAAAATGAATGCAAATAATGACAACTAATGCTAACAATTGATGCTAATGTCAACAACTAATGCCAATGCCAAAAACTGCTGTTAATGCAGACAATTAATGCAAACGCTGAAACCTAATGCAATCACCGACAACTAATGCTACCGCTGAAGACAAATGCTAATGCCAACAACTAACGCTACTGCTAACAACTAACACTAATGTCAACAACTAATGCTAATGCCAACAACTAATGTTAAGGCAGACAACTAATGCAAAGGCTGAAACCTACTACAAACGCAGACAACTAATGCTAACACCGAAGACAAATGCTAATGTTGACAACTAACCCTAATGTCAACAACTAAAGTTAATGCTGACAACCAATGTGAATGGCAACAATTAATGCTAACACCATAAACTAATGTCAATGCTGACAACTAATAGTAAGGCCAACAAGTAATGCTAATGCCGACACCAGTGCTAATGGTTAGTGCCTCATGCTAACAGCCAACGGAACCAATTCCAAACGAAACTGCTGAGCTAAACAGCCAGACTTTTAAATAAATGACAGAAAAAGGAAAAGCTGTTTGGTCACTGAGTGGAATCCAGTTATGAGCTGCTCAGATTTAAGCGCCAACACACCTCGTGTTCAGCTTCACTGGCGTCCAGACAGCCGTCTTCGTAATCCCTGATGACGGCCCTCGCTGTGAGCTTGTGGAGAAACTGAACACATGCACACAATTGAAAGGAAAATCACTTGTAAGCTCATCATTTATTTAGTATGTTTTCCAGAGAAACAGCTGAATGCTGGTTGTAGTGATATGAGATGTGTGTGATGTACAACAAAAGTCAAAAATAGAGATTTTAGAGTGCTCGTTTGGTAAAGTCAGGCTTTCTTTCTGTAAATGGGATCAACAAAACCTAAAACCCCAGTCAGAGATAATGGACATCCCAACCCGGTTCTCAGTTTTTAAAAGAGTGCCATGATAATCATACATTAGTTGTATAACGGTGCGAATGTGTGCGTCCTTACTGTGCCTCTGGTCTTCTGCAGCTCGCTGGTCGACACCATGGTCTGGAGCTCCTGACCGCTCAGGTTTCCGAACAGCGTCGCCTGTATGAAGAGTCATACGACCACAAACAGCTTCTGAAGTCTGGATATTTCTTTCTAAGCCTTACTGCCTTAAACTATCAGTCAAAGAAACCAGCAAAGGCAGCACCAGACAAAAGTAGTCCTGAGTATAAATTGTGTACCTGTGTCTGAGTTGCGTACCTGAGTGCAGTGCGGCACGAAGCCGTACACCAGCGTGTGACAGTCATTGAACAGAGCGTGCAGCTGCTTCGGGGCCTGAACAGCAGGGGGCGCCGTCGGGTTGAACTGCTGCCACTTGACCGACACCGAGCTGCAGCCGGGAGACGCCATTCGCTTCACTTGCCGGGACACCTGCAGCAGCCAACACAGGTTAGCAGAGGAACAGCCAGGAAGACGCACAAAACAACCACAAAGACACATAAAACAACTACAAAGAGCCGTAAACACAGAGAGACAAAGATTAAAAACACAAAATGACCAAAAAGAGCCAACTCCCTCCCACAAGGATACACAAAATAACCATGACGAGACACCAAACAGCCACAGAAAAACACAATGTAAAGACAATATAATATAAAGAGACACAAAACTATCACAAAAAGACAAAAAGCATAGAGGCAAAAGCACAAAATGAAAATGCAGTAGCACAACCCCTGATCCCACACAAAACTATCACAAATAGACAAAAAACAATCAGACAAAGAGAAACACAGACGCAAAACAACCATAAAAAGACACAAAATTACCACAAGACATGACAAACAACCAGAAAGACACAAAACACAAATTAAAATGCACAGAAAATTATCACAAAGAGCTATAAACATAGAGAGGCAAAAATCTAAAACACAAAATGAACATAAAGAGCCACACTCCCCTCACAAGGACGCACCAAATAACCACGAAGAGACACAAAACAACCACAGAAAGACACAAAACAACCACAAAGACACACAAAACAACCAGAAAGAGACACAACAACCACCAGAAAGACACAAAAAATAACCACAAAAAACATAAAACAACCAGAAAGAGACACGAAACCACCAGAAAGAGACACAACAACCAAAAAGAGACACAAAACAACCACAAAGAGACACAAAACAACCAGAAAAAGACACAAAACCACCACAGATTATGTCCTGAAGCTTCCCTTGCAGACCAGATGCTAATTTTTCACCGACGCTAAACGTCCAATTAAAATGTTTCGCTGCACTGACAGATTTCTGGTCACATGACCACACGACCAAGAATCTTTGCACACTGGAGCCCTGAACACACAATTGAACAAGTGAATGCTGAAAATGCTACTAACTCTGACAATGAGCGACTAATGAGGGAGGTGCAGTGATTAATTAGCGCAGCTACAAGGTGAGCTGGTGACTGTGTGTCTTGCGTTGACTTCCTGTGACCTTGTGCAGGACAACAGAGGCTCGGCTAGCAGACGGATGTGATTAATTGAACGCTTCACCTTCTCGGCCCAGTTGTGTTTGGTTTTTGGGTCGAAGAACTCGTAGGCTCCGCCCCCTGCCTGGGCCAAAGCTCTCAGCATGTGTCGGTTGGCTGTCGGGCTGAAAGAAACATCGACACACACACCTTTATATGTATAAAAAAACTATAAAGTAAAGATAAACACAGCTTTCTTGGGACTTTATGTGTGTTTTGTTGCATTTAGTTTGGTTAATCTCAGTAGTTATTACTGCTGTAGCCTTGTATTTATTCATGTACTGAACATTTTGTTAAACTCTGAGCATGACGAGCTAAGACGGCCTCGTTTACAGAGAAGCCGAGTAAGAAAATCAAAGACGTCGGCACACACATAAGAACCTTAGATCGCAATAAAATATCAAAAGACAAAGTTATCAGAAAAATTGTAGGTATTATTCAGAGCAAAATCAAATGAATCAACAAAAACGAGAGCAGCTGGAAGCAGAATAACATGATCGCCTGAAGGACTAAAAAAAACCCCCAAAAGCATCAATTTAAATTAGTCTTGTTAATGTCCATAATTAAAACACTGCAGGGTCTCAGTTTTATTATTTATTATAGACAGGTAAAGGCATTTATATCCCTATTATGTAAATTAATCAGATCGATTCACACAGTGAACAATGCTACAGGGGCTTAACGTCAACATTTACACCTAATTAATAGTTAATTTGTAACACCAATTATATATATATATGTGTGTGTGTGTGTGTGTGTCATGGTAGAGACTGCGATCTGGTAGAATCGGCGATTGAGATGAAATTGTTGATAGAAATTGTCAGAAATATGATCAAATTATTCAATTACAATTCCCCAGGAAGATGAAACCACATCCACACTGAGCCACAAAAGACCCTAACGAACCCCACTGTGTCAGGGGGAGCACTAACGACCCACATAACGAGGGGGAGGAGCAACAAACCCCAAATTAAAACTGAGCTGTTCATGGCTCCTTAAGGATAAAAGTATCTGAAACTCCCAACTAGTCAGTCAGAGCTGATGAAGCCTCTTGGATGAGAGGTGGAACGTCTTCAAGGAACTCAAGCAAGTCAAGCTGCTACGATTAATCTACCAGAAGAACCACGACCTGAGAATCTTAACAATTTGAAAAAAAGTTGCTGAAGTGATAAAAGTGGAGCAGTCATGTGAACACCATAAGTTTCCCATGACTGAAGATTTAGTTGGTTGATTGATTTGTGAAAACAAAATAAAACAAAACACTTTGTGAATTAAACAGCATCACAGAGTGTAAAAGTACAGTACAAAGCAACAAAAACAGTGTCGATGTGAGGTTTTCTTTACGATACCTGAGTCCGCAGGTGAAGAGGCGGCTGTGCTGAGCGTCGTCTCGGAGCAGCTTCAGGCTCACTTCTGAGTTCTGGATGTGTCCGTCCGACAGCAGCAGCAGGTTTCGGACGCCGGCGGACGGAGGAAGAAGGCTGAGAGCTCTCAGGGGCCTCCAGAGCTCGGTGCTGCCCCCTACTGAGGAGTACTGACCACAGCAGGGAGAGGAAACATCAGCTCAGGTTGTGTTATTCAGACAAAACATCAACTTCGTCAACCCTGAAGGAAATTCTTGAGCCAGATATTGCTCTGAAAAACCAAATGGTGATTTATGAACAACGGTCGTTCAGCAATGAGACTCAGACGGACCGAAAGACGACAAAAATGCCCACGTTTTTATGTATGAATTGTTATTGTAGAGGAAGCTAAATGCACTTATTCTGAAAAGTCTTCCAGTCAATATTATTGAGGGTGACTAGCCTAAAAAAATCTGAAGTTTAGAAAAACTAACACAACTTTAACTGCAACGACATGAAAACAGGAATAGATATCAAAACGTGGATTTCGTTGAGTAACATTTAAATCCTTGTGACCTCTTTAAACTCTGAATGAAGTTTCTACTGTGAAACCTTCCGAAGCTACCGGGGTCCAAAGATGGCTTCCTTTACATTTCAATGGGGATTTGTAACACCACATATTTCGTAAATAAATGTAGGATGAATCGCTACCACGAGTCAAAGCACACCACTCCTGATCGATGTTTTTATATATGGTTTATGGGTTTTCTTAAAGCTGCAGGACGAGTGAGGCGCCGAAAAAGACTTTATAGTAACAAACCTGATGAACAACAATAAACGAGCTTCGACGGTTATACATCGGCGCACTTAATAAGTACGATACAAGACAAAAGAGGCTAGAATAGAACTGTAAAAAGTAATAATATAGTAATATCACACATAATGATGAAATATTGAACAATACATCGACGATGCTGTACACGGAATGAAATGGTACACATGATAGAGAAGCTGATATTGCACAAACTGTTGAGAAAACTGTGTCCGTGAGTCAGGACATTAACAAAGCACTGATGAAAATATGACAGTTATAATTACAGAACAAAAACAAAAGCAATGTTTCATTAAATTAGGCTGATGTTAAAGGTGTCTGAACTGTGCTCAGGTGGCACTACAGCATAGAAACAAGCACATTTTGCCTTTATTTCCTTTATGATGATTCAAATAAAGTTAATTTCATATTACTTAAAATTGTACAACAATACAGTAAAGTGTTGACATTATTTTATAGTTTGTATCGACGCTAAACATTTCCAGGCTTCCAGGATGAGCATAACGCATCATAACTCACCTTAATGAAACTCTCAGCTTCCTGTTTGACTTTGCTGAGCGGCTGTGCTGTGGGGAAAGCTTCTTTGTGATCTAACACGTAAAAAAAACACAAAGTCCACATCAGGATAACACCACTGACTGCTGCAGCTGTTCGTCAGTTTTGCAAAAAATATTTAACCGACTGATTGAAAATGTTGTATTTGATTAATCAAAAAGCAACTTTCATGTAAAAGGAAAGGCTGATGAAACCTCTTCACAGAACTCCTCATGCAGTTGTTCATGTTGTTATCAAAACCAAAGAAGTGTTGGATTAGTTCCTGGTGTGTCGTACAGTTTTAGTATCGGAGAGCCTTTCACCTTTATGCTGACGATGCTGCTATTTATATCCCCAATTTTCACATTTTACAAATTCAGATTTCCTTCCAGTCCAATCAAAGCTGGTTTAACAACAACAGACTTGTAGTGAACACAAAAAAGAACAAGGAAAAGCAACGTACTTGCTCATATCTTTTTAACCAGAACATGATTTTTGACATGATGGAGCTGATACCGTCAAATATGTTGGACTTTGGACAAACCCTGAATTCTCCTTCAAACTCCACATTTTAACTCAAAAACAGAATCATTTTTCACTTGATCTTCTGACTGACACTGTTTCTTTTTTTCTGTTATTCCCTCTCTATGCAGATTTGTTTAGAGGTGTCTGTACAGAACTTATCATTGTTTCTTATACGAATCGCTTAAATGGTTGCGGCCTAAATCTCTCACTGGGTTCTGCTCATTTTCAAATTCGTAACTTTGATGGAACAAAACCGAGCTATCTGGCCACAATGAGCAGAAATATGTTAGGAGGAGAGAAGGTGAGGCCTTGAACCCCAAAAACACCAAACGTACCATTAAGCATGGAGGTGGCAGCATCATGCTCTGGTTCTGTTCTGCTGCCAGTGGACCTGGAGCTTTACACACAGTACCTAAGTAAATTTTCTATGATTCCATCATAGAAAATGCAGAGTTCTAGGAGTCACTGGAAACAAGACTGAATGATAAACATGGACTTTACAGGTGGATGGAAACTTTGGTTCATGACTGTATTTCCTTTAATTTACTGCTTCAAGTCGTCTTGATGTTCTAATGTTAAAGAAACCTTTTTATGCTTTTAGTTCAATATTTTTTTTTCAGTTTTCCGCTCATTATTGCTTTGAGTCATTGGAAACCAAACTGCTTCTGATGCTGACAGATTGTTTCTTCAACAGCTGAGGTCAGGAGGGTGAACCAGCTGTTGTATTAGTGTACCTGTAGTGTTTATTTGGTATTTGTGTTTTTAGCCTTTCCATCCTTTCAGTGAATTAAAATTGAAACTTACTTTGTCTGTATTTTCAAAGTTGCATCATAAGTTGCATAAAACCGACCTGTGCCGAACAGAATAACGTTGACTCTGACGTCGCGGTCGAGGTTTTTCAGAACCTGCAGGGCGATCCTTCGGGCCGAGCGCAGAGGTTCTCCCTTCATGGACTCAGACATGTCCAACAGCAGGACGACTTCATCGGCTGATGAGCTGGAACCGACCTCGAAGTCCGGATAGAACACCAGCATGCAGGCCTGGAGGAAGGAGCAACGGACGGTTGAAACAAGGAGCTTCAGGGTGACGGAGAGAAAAGTCGGACCGATGGACGGACCTGGCTGTCCTTGTCAGGGTGTTGTTCCACCCACATCCTCGGCATGTGGACCTTCGACAGCCCGATCGACAGCTGGAACCCGTCAGAACCCATCACCTCTCCTGGTAGCACACTCAGCACCGCCTTACAGTCAGTTCTCTACAGCGTACAGACAAAAAGATAAAAAACAGGACCTTATGGCACAAGATCAAAAACAAAACCTGTTAGGAATTTAGTATTCTATTTGAAAGCCTTCAACATTTAATTGTAGACTTTGATCTTCTGAACTTATGAAGCCCAGATTAAAACTTTGCTGACTTTTATAGGAGCCCAATAAAAGAGAATGAATAACTACCAACTATCTGCAAAATCCAGTTCATCAAAAACACGAGGGATGAAATGGAACAAAACAGCTCAAGTACCTTCGTTTTGACCTGGTGAGTGACGCACTGCAGGCTGGTGATCTCGTAGGGCATCTCGATGGACATGTCCAGGGTGAACTCTCTGCAGCGGGGAGAAGGACGGCACACCTTTACATCCACATGTTTGACAAACCGCGAGCTGATTTAGAAAAACTACAGATTCAAGCTGCGCACAAACAGTTGCGCTGCTTCGTGTGACTCACCTCTGACTCGCCGCCTCATCGGTCACACACACCTTCTCCACCGTCACCTGTCGGCCGATAAATTTGCAGCAACATGAGATTCGAGATTCTTTAATTGTTTCATCCTCGTAAAGTACAGACAGTGAACCGCGATGCGACCGTTGCAGAAGGCGTATCTGACGAAACCGTACGACGAACACGACTCGATCGATTCTTTCTGTTTTTGTAGTTTCTAAAATTTAAAATGTAAAAATCAGCTCCAATAAATGAAAGGTAAAAATCCCATTTTTTAAAAATTTATGAAGGGAAAAAAATATATATATATAACTGTCCAGATACACATTTTGAAATTCTAAATCAGATAAAACAGCTTTAACTGATAAAAAATACTACAAAAATTTCAGGACCAACAGAACTTGCATTAAATCGGATACAAGAGGGCTGTTTGAAAGAAGAGACTTGAAGAAATACTGCTAGTAATTAAAAATATACTAAATAAATTTTTAAAAAACAAGCACTAAGATTAAATAAAACCTTCATTCAGCCTTTCAGGAGTTTCTATTTGAGTGAACTCCAGCATGTTCGTGCTGACAGTCAGCGATGAAGTTCACCCGCTAAGTGACAACATTTTCTTCGTTACATGTGGAAGGCGAAATTATTTGCTGCAGGACAAAACATGACATTAACATGTGGCGACTGGTTTTGTTTTGTTTTTTATTCACTTGAGAAAAGTGTTTTATATTATAAATTATGAGGCCTGAAGAATGCCGGAGAAAAAAAAACGACCCAATTCCATGTACTTCAAGGGCCTGTAGCTGAAAACACTCATTAGAGGGTTACCAAAAAAACCAAGTGGCAGGTAAGCAGGTGGGACTCTTCTCACCTGTGTGGTCTGGTTCAGCGCCGCGCCCTCCTGCCACGGAGCCACACTCCCCGGCAGAGAGAACTGAATGGTCCCGTCCCGGACGATCAGCTCGGACACGAAGGTGACTTTGATGAGGACGGTCGCACCTGGAGGCAGGTTTCCCACGCTGATGGTGAAAACGTCCTACGGCGGGAACAAAGACGAAATGAATGAAACGAACAGAAGCCTGCGAGAAGCCAGGCGTCGGTAGACCTGGACCTACAGGTGCGTCCTGGTCCATCAGGTAAGCTCCGTGGCCCGCAGCAACAGCCTGCCGGTACTCTTTACGAGCCGTCTCTTTCTCCTTCACCTGAACAAACACACAAAAACAAGGTTCCTTTAAGTTAATAAACCACAGTGTCAGCTTTACATTTTGTCTTGTGCATCGTGTTGGCAGAAAATAAACTAAACATCTGAGTCTTTTTTTACTTCCGCTGATAAAACCTCCAAACTGCTGAGAACTAAAGTACACATAAGATAATAGAATATGATAAAAAGCAGCCACAAAAACATGAAAGTTAAGCAAACTTCACATTAGAAAAAGTACAAGAAAGTGGCAGAAAGGATGCAAATCACCTCCACAGGTTCTACAACTGATAATAACTCGACAACAGAACATCACGGTTGGTCCTCAGAGAGCCTTTATCTGAGCCACGATTTGGTTTTGGACCGGAGGAGGGATCTAACCTGCTGCAGGTACACCAGAAGTACGGTGTATTTGGTAAATATTCAAAATGAAAAAGCTGATTTTAGCTTTAAAGAGTTCAGAAAGACAAATTCTACAACGTTTAGAAAACGCTGATGGACTGCAGCAGACTTTATTTATGTCCATCGTGGTTCCAGGAGTGGAAGCTCCCTCAGTTTTTATGGTTTGCAGGTTGCATACGAGCGAATACAGATGTGTTTATGAGTAGAAAGTATATTTGGACACATGGACTCCTCGTGGAAGTGAAAACAGAGAACTGGAAGAAGGGCTGCTTGAAATAGTAAAGGACGGCTGCTCTCACCTGTGTCTGCGTGTATATATGCATGCAATGGATGACTTATATGAAAAAAGCTTTGCAAAGAAGGAATCCAGCGAGGTTACCTGTCCCACCACGTGTTTCCCGTTAATGAAAGCTTCAAATCCACAAACTGCAGCAGAGTCATCCAGAGGGAACACGTACTTGGCCTCGATGGGCACCGAGCTCTGGTTGGTGTACTTCTGGAAGATGATCACCTGGGAGAGGACCAATTCACAGGGCGGATGAGAAACGAGTTGTGAGACACAAAAGAAAACCACCTGTGCGTTCGTCACCTGAGAGAGCAGATCCATCAGTTTGCACTTGACGTGGACGGCCTGCAGGGGGAGCTGCTGCCCCGAGCTGTCCAGCAGTCCGGCCTTCACGCCGTCCAGAGGGTTGGCGACGTTTTCAACGCCGTCCACCTCCGATCCGACATCTGCAAACACAGAAAAACTGCAGTATGAGACCCTCTGCGCAGCCTGAGGAGTCAAATCTGGAAACATGTGCTGGCTGTAAGAAAAACAAACACAACACTTGTGAAACTACGAGGCAATAATAGTGCAGACGCATTATGTTTTTGCACATGTTTAGAATTTTACAGTTTTAGTTGATATAAAGGGTGTAAATATTCATGCATTCAGACCTCAAAACTCAAAAAAACAAACAGTAAAACAAAGTGAGCAGAGTGAGATCTAGAAGTTTATATTTATATATTTCACTACAATGTGTGATATTATTTATTAGCTCAGTCAGTATAACTGCCAGCATTACTTTATACCTTTCTATTCCAGCCTTATTTTAGTTCCATAATGAACTGTACTTATATTTTGATTGTTTCTTTATTTGTTAGACACTGACTTTCTCATGTCATTTGATTTTTTTTTTAGCAATATCTATCAGAAGAATTTCCTTCAGACTAATATTTAATCTCATCATGTATTTTTGTATTTTTTTAAAGAGCCCATATTCTGCATATTTACAGGTTACTGAAATATACATCCATAT